AAGCATGTATAGATGTGCCTTAGGAATATAGAAAAGCAGGGGATTCCAGATATCTGGGCTGAACAGAATAGCTAAATGTCAATATGCAGAAATGGTTTGGAGAGGTTATATTAAACTGTAACTTGTGTAGCTAGAATTTTCAAGACAGATCTACAGGGAAGAGGGCCAAGAATGGCCTGAGCACAGACAATAAGATGAAGTTCAAGGTCAAACTATTCAGGTTTTCAGTGCTGATGAGTGCTCAAAACCTAATGATTTGATCTTGAACTTCATCTTATTGTCTGATGAGTGACAGCAAAAAGAAGCTGGGAGGGTTTTTAACAGGAAAGCAAGGTAGACACAACAACGTTTTTGGGTAGTAACTCCATTAACAGTGTTAATGACAGGTTGGAGACAAGGCTATGCTTGTAGTAGTGACAACTTAGTTGGTATCTGCTAGATACAAAGTATACCTTGCTACCTTCTCTGCATATCTGTATATATTAATTAATGCCATAAACTTTCAGACTGCCACATGAAATAGACTTTGTCACCACCATTTTATAGGCCATATAATGTTTGGTTGAGGGATTGTTTCCAAGTCCTCAGAGCTCATAAATGGCAAAGCATGGCTTCAAACTGAGGTGTGACCCCCAAAGCCAGGTCCTCAGTACTTCTCTGCCCCTGCCTTTTTGTCATCAAGAGTCTTACTCCTGAATATGGGGGAGACATCCTATGATTCTTGATGACTGGTTTGAGGGAATGTTTTCCCTTTGAGAGTTTGTGTCAGTCTTTGGATATAGACTTTGGATAAATGCATGTTGACTGTTTTTTCAAAGCAAACATCATTACAAGGCAGTGTGCATTCTCAGACTGGAACAAACACCCATGAATATAAATGTGCTAGAAGCAAGGAGCTCCCTGATCAGGACAAATTATCAGGCAATGTTCTTTCTTCTGTATCTTTATGCTTCTGACATATCATCTTATAAAAACTCGAGAGGAGGTTTCTTTCCCGCCAGCCTATGTAACAATGAGCTGAAACATTTGGATGGAGGTACAAGAGATGTTCCTCACCAACTACATGAATGATGTGGAACTTGGATGACCACAGTCGGCTCAGTCTGAGAAAGGGTACTCTCCCCCTCATGTAATCCTCAACTCTAATTTTTATCATCCCAAAGACCCTGTAGAGCACACATTTAATCATACATCCTTGCACCCAGAAAAGAACTAGCTTCCCCAAAATCTACATTTCTTCTCCTTACTAACATCAGAAGACCATTTGCTTTTCTTCAGAAACTGCCCCAGGGCCCCATCTTGGCCACTAGGCTTGGATTATAGCCATGACTCCTCCATGGAGCACTTGCTGGGTAAAGTAATTACGCTTCATTCTAAGCATAGCTCCTGCAGAATTCAGAGCAGAAAAACACTTAGCCTTTGAGTATCAGGGATCACCCCTGTCAGGAACATCCCTGGCAAATTCAGAATCCTTGTTGGCATCATACCCAGTCCATCCACAGCTGCCCAAAGGCAGGATCTAGGAAGCTGGTGGTTATCAAGTGTAAGGTTTTGTTGCTGATGAGATCTTAGAGATCCTAGATATCATTACAAGGCAGTGTGTATCCACCTTAGAGGTCTAATTCACTTCACCCAAACCAAGTCTAGACTTGTCCATAGAAGTAGATGCAACCAAGTGATCCCCAAACATATGTAGTCATAAGAATATGCCTTATCCACATCTGAAGCATGTGCCTAAATATGCACCCTCCTTGAAACTGTGAAATGCTAGCATTAAGAGCTAGAAGCTTATAAGAATATTCCTAATTTTCTGGGTGAGTGGTCTCCAACTATTAATGATTTGCATGCTTATCTGTATATTTATTTATAAATACATATATGATTAAACTCATGCATTATAAATATAGAAAAAAGTTTTTTGAAAGATGAGATAAAGATATAAAAATCCATGTTTTAAAAATAGGTATTTTATGTATTAATGGATCACATAACATTTTGTTTTTGTTTTTCTTTTTTTGAAACAGAGTCTCGCTCTGTCACCCAGGCTAGAGTGCAGTGACACAATCTCAGCTCACTGCAACCTCTACCTCCTAGTTCAAGCAATTCTCCTGCCTCAGCCCCCCAAGTAGTTGGGATTACATGTGCCCACCACCATGCGCAGGTAATTTTTGTATTTTTGGTAGCAATGAGCTTTCACTGTGTTGGCCAGTCTGGTCTCAATCTCCCTAACTCAAATGATCCACCTGCCTTAGCCTCCCAAAATGCTGGGATTACAGGTATGAATCACCATGCCTGGCTGATCATGTGACATTTTTGTTCTGGTTTTAGTTTAACCTAATTGAATATTAGACTTTAGTGGTAAGCATGGATAAATGAGATTCTTGCCAAAAACATACAGATCTAGAAAAAAGAGTATGCTAGGCTTGCTGAACAGGTGATGATTTTTATCCTAATTTTTCAAGCTTTTTTACACCTTGACAGCGGTCTATTTCTGTTTTGGATGTATTACTTTGAAATATTTTGTTAATGGTGATGATTTTGTGTAAGATTCTGTCAATATCTCAAGGTCCAATATACAGTTAGGATAAGGTGCATTGTAAGTATTTATGCATACAAGTCTATATATCAAATAGTTTTTAAAATACAACTAAATCACTATCTACTTATTGTTAGGTAGATTAGCTTATCATCTTTAATTCTTACTTTGTGTATCAATAGGCTTTTGTAAGAAGTAGGATAGATGTGGTTGGTTCTGGCATTTCCTGGTATTTGGCATGCTTCCATTATTAATATTATCTTCAATTCATAATTCATCATGGTATTAGACATTTTTCTATTTGTATTTTCCCAACTTTTCATAACCAACCATATGAGGGTTAGTATAGTTAAAACTAGAAATCAATTTAGAGTTGTATGTAACTGGCCAGTTGCATACTGCAGTATTTCACAATGTGAGGGTGATGTCAGTCTGTGCTACAGACTCCCTCTTTGCTCTTGAGACCCAAGTTACTCAGTGGGATTCTGCCATACAGAAAAAGCAAGGTCCTCCAGGTAAATCTGGACTCTAATTATTAGTGAAGCTTAATTTCTTTTTTTTTTCTTATTCACCAAAGCAATTGTAAATAGACATTCTAATACTTTCTTTCCACATCCTGATGGCTGTCTTGTGCACCCTGGGGAGAATGCAGCCCACTTTGCACCTTAAATAATATAAAATAATACATGATTTTGAATGAGACATGCTTAGCCTCAGTCCCTCACTCAGCTGTGTTAAAGCTACATACTGTTCTACTTCCCTAATCCCAAGTTATCTGTCTAGTAAATGAAGATAATACTGCTTAGTTCTATGGTTGGTTATAAGGAGTCAGGAAAAGCCAAATAAGAAAAATGTCTAACACTGTGACGAAAACCTGACATTATCAAAATTTCTTGCTTTTCTTGTAAATGCGAACCTGAAAAGCAGAGTGGAGTGGTGCCAAAGGAGCTCCCAGAAGCAATAGCTCACCCTGGACTCAGGAGTACTGGCTCCAAGCCCAGGGCTCCTAACAATATACAGTGTGGCATCTGATCAAATGAGAGGTGAACCAATGGCAACAGGACTTCCAGAGGATGCACAGAGCTTTTCCTCATTAAGGCTCAGCCTCTGTGAATGCTGCCCAGAACCCCTTCTCACATGCTTCCTTCTCTGAAACAGAACCATTTCCCATTCTTCTCACTGCCTGGGTTCAGGTCACCCACCAAAACCACTCAGCCTCACCGACTTTCATCCTTAAGTTAAGTGGTGGCCATAGCACACAAAAGGCACTTGAAGCATTAAATCCAGGGTTATCTTTTCACAACTGGAGTCTAATGTTGGAGGTAGATTATTAAAGTGTGCATGGATTCTTAGTCTTCTATTAAGAGATAGTAACTATTCATTTTGAATATGGACTGGCCTTGTGACTTACTTTGGTCAGTGGAATGTGTTAAAAAACAACTTTATGCAAATTCTAAGACTGGACAACAGGAGATTTTGTGTGTTTCCCCTCTTAATAGCGCAGGACCCTAGCCTGGTGGAGGATGAGGCCACAGGGAGAACCACACAGTCCAGCTGGGAGCCCCAGACCTGTGAGTGAGCCCAGTGAGATCATCTAAGCCACACCTAACTCAGTAGAACCGCCCAGCTGAGTCCAGTCCAAACTGCTTACTCATGAAATAAACTAAGTTGTTGTTTTCAAGCCATTAAGTTTTAGAAAAGTTTGTTAAGCAACAAAAGCAAACAAATAGATACTCCTTGTTTTGTATACTAATTTGCTCTGTTAATTGGACACAAAAAATACAATTTCTATTAACTTTGTTTTTTTGTGCATCAGTAACATAGTAGCAACCATCATGAGGATATGTAGTTCATGTCTGTGTTTGGTTTCTTAATAACCACAACTTGATTATTTACAACGAGCCTTGGAGGTAAGTCTATCGTGAGGATTTATTGATATCACATGCACATGAAATACCCAATTCAAACTACATCCTCTAAAAGATGAAAACAGCTATATTTCGATTATATAAATTGATGTTTATAAATACCAACACTATCAGTTTTTGAAAGATCTAGGCATAAGTGTTACAATATGTGGTTTTGAAGTAATGGCTTACATCAGTATTGAACATACTGACTCCTTCTTACCACAGCTACACAGGCAAGCTTCATTTTCCATCAATCCACGTCTCTTTAAAATTGACAAATTTAATGGAAAGAGCCACTGAGAAGAAAGAAGGTAGAAGGGAGTGCAGGAGGGAGGAGATAAATTTGTACTTTCTAGTCTCTGTCAATATGTGATTTATTTTCAGATACATTAAAGCTTTGGATTTTTGACTTGGAAAGGAAACACAAGGAAAATCTTTTCCTCATTAGTGCCAAATTTCCTATAATCTGATATCCCACCTCCACCTTCTTCCACAGAAAGAAACAAACATATACACACACACACACACAAATACAAATTGTAAAGCACACTTACCCTCTCTGAAAGAGATCCACATTATAAAATTTATGTAGCTCTACCGAAAACTCAACTGTTCCTTGTACTTCAGACATGATCTTTTTGGCTCATTACCTGAAAAATAAGAGAGAAATTAACAGCTTGAGATCACATCAGCCAGACAGAAAACCTGACTTTTATAATAGGAAACCAATCTGACCAACAGGATCAACAGGAGTAGCATGTGTCCACTGAATGTCCCCACTCAGGGTTCCTTGTATGGAAAGAGACATGGAGAGACAAAATGACTTGCTTACTGTCACATAGCTCCTACCTGGAAGGGCCAGGAGGGAGACCCAGGTGTCCTGCTGGGTCTCAACTTCAAAGCTGAGCTGGTCCCATGCCCTTTCTTATCTCTCAGTTCTGTGGTGACAACGACATTCTGGCCAAGAGCACATCTTTCATGGCCAAAGGCACAAGAAAGCCTGCTTACTGCTTTCTAGCTGTGTGACCTTGGGCAAGTTACTTAACCTCTCTCATCTTCAGTGTTCTCATCTAATATGAGGACTGGTAATAATACATGACTTTGATATATGGTGGAGAGAGAAAATAAATACACCACACTGAGCATTTTGCATGGTCATTTGTGTCTTAAATACTCAGTAAGTGGTAGCTACCATTGATAATAATAATTTTAAGTGGTTTTATCATCGGTATTATAAATGTAGTCTCTAAAGACTGTGGCTGGAGTGACATCAAGCATGGTACACAGAGCATGCGGGTGCTGCTGCTAGGTAGATGTTGAACCCAACTTGACAGGTTGCTAATTTTCTAATTACTTGTTACTGGAAGTCAGTAACAAGAGGGTTGAATGGAAAAGATGGGAGGAAAAAAACATTAAAACAGTCCAAGTCTGGGATGAGAAAAAAGCCAAGAGGTACATTTAAAATAGGCTGGGTTTTCTGAGACTATGAAAGGATCTAGATACCAGGAATGTGATGGAAGGGAAAGAAACTTATAGTAAGTATATTGAGCACCTACTATATTCTTGGTGTTGCATAAAGTATTCCATGTAAGTTGCCTGATTTTTTTCCAACAACAATTTTGTATTATTCTTGCCCCATTTGGCATGCAAGAAAAAAGGACCAGACAAACTCTGATCTGGAGCCACTTTCTAACTCTGGAATGTTCTGGTGGTATTGCCTTTGTTAAGACCCTCCCTTTCTCCAAGCCTGTTTACTACCACGTATAACAGGGACAATGAAAGCTGCTAAGTAGACTCCCAATACCATAAGCGGTAACAACTTGCAAAATACCTGGCACCTAGCAGGATCTCAAGAACTGGCAGGACCTCCGGGAAGGGAAAGAATGAGAGAGAAGGAGAAGAGGGGAAAGTAAGGGAACACATGGCCCTGTCACCTAAGAACTGGTGATTCACACTTGAGTCTCCTTCCAAAGCCCCTCTTTCTGCCCCCAGGTGCCGCAAGGACCAGACCGTTCTTGTGGCTCAGAGCCCAACCTCACTGCAGCTAACAGGGTCAGGCTAGGCCAGATCCCACAGATTAGAGCAGGAGGGATTAACTGGCCCTTAACTGCATCTCGGCTCAGGTAAGGGTTTTCATCTGGGGAACATTCTAGAGATGCAGAAGGCTGCATACCAAATTAAAATCCTCAGAACCAACCTCTATAAATTCTGCCAGACAGAATTTCAATCTGGCAAACCTGGAAAGGCCTGGCTCACAAAATGTGCCAAAAAACCATTTCCCTAATGAAGAGCTATCGAGGTGTGCCCTGCCCCTATTTAACACACCAGAGCCAGTCAAGGTCAGAGCCTGAGGCTCAGTTTTAATCCTAAGTCACTTCCAGTCCAAGCCAGATGGAGGGGCCAGCAAATGGAAGCCACTCTGGGTTTCCCTCCATAACCACATGACATGTCAACAGCTACATTGTCCTCAGTTTCTCATCACCCCACTCAGTCTGAATCCTCCAAAAACTCAGAGCTGGCAAAACCATCTGAGTCTTTTCTTGGGGTTGTCAGCTTTCCATTATCCTTGGTGCCTCTTCTGATCTCTGATCTTGGGGAGGAGAATATATAGAAAGAGGGACAAAGGGAGAAGAGGAACATTGCACCCCAACAGTGCCAGCCTACCATATACCACACACTAATGGGGGTTCCAGGCATGACGTCACACTGTCCTCAAAAGCCCTCCACATGGGTAGTATTGGCCCCAAGCCACATAGGACAGTGGTGCTGTTGAGGCAAAGAGTGCCCACCCAGGAGCCTGGGTTTTCCAGTTTCTGCACTTACTGGTAGACTGACCAGGTCCATGTTTTGGGGTAGAGTTACTATTTAGAAGAAAATATTTAATGCATGGAAAACGCCACACAGGATTATTTTCTCCTTGAAAGATGCACCATACCATGCTGTTGTTCAGGACAAATGGGATAGAGTTCTGGAACTTGTAAGCACAGACACAGCTTCTTGGTGGGAAGCTGCCTTTTCCGTTAAAACAGCATGCGATGCATCATAACCAAACACCCAAAATGCAGTGAGGAAGATGAGTTTTCATGTAAAATATCAATTTTAAAAGTCCCTGTTGATTTTGCTGGTAACATCCTTGACCACTTTGTGATCAGTGATCCAGAGCCATTTGCCTTGGTCCCAACCTTCTCCCCTGCTCTTTCCATCTGCAGATTAGAGGGAAGGTATCAGAGTGGCGGTTTTCAGGTGTGGCCCTCAGACCGGTGGCATCAGCAATGCATTGTTATAAAAACAAAGCCGAGTCCCACACCAGGCCTACTCAGTCAGAAACTCCAGGGATGAGCTTCAGGGATCTGTGTTTTCACAAGTTCTGCAGGGAATTCCGATGCAAGCTAATTTGAGAACCGCTGGCCTAAAGACATGGGTTTTAGCATTAACCAGAGCTGAGTTAACTTGGTTTCTTGTGAACTGCAAGACCTTGGGCCCATAGCTTAACCTCTCCGTTCCTCATTACTAAGAGGTGAGGAGCAAGAGTACCTACCCTATAAAAGTGTCTTCATGATCAGTAGAGAGACAGCATGTAAAGTGTTTAATACAGCGTCTGGCATACTGTTGGAACACACTTATGACATACGCACACAATAGACATAGGACACATACCCAACACACACATCACACTTACACAAACATACAAATACATACAACATACATTGATAATAGAACATTAACACACACACACACGAGATGCCCATGACATATACCCAGCACATCCTGGGTGCTAAAAGGACTGCCCAGGAAACCCCGCTCTCTGCTTCTGTGGGACTGAGTTCAGGTGCAAGGTTCTGAGAATGCGTTGTGATGAGTGCAGTGAGAGGTACCAACAAGCATCATGCTCAGGAGGAGGCCAGGACATGATTCAGATCTCCATCCCCAGCACATCAGCAACCGCACCTTGGGTAGACCAGGGTTCCTCAGTATTTATCCCAAGAGCTTCCTACAAAACATCAGAAAACCCAGCACTCACACCCAACATGAACATGTACCATACACACGACCAACATACCCAACCCGAAATACACAGGCACCATGTGCACACACACCACAGACATCTCTGCACTAACTTCCTCCTACAACCAGCACCACCCACCATTCTAGTGAACTCAGTCATTCTGCTGCATTTGGTGTGACTCTGAAATGCTCACCTTCAAACCTGCACTTCCTAAAAGCTGTGTGTCCAGGTACTGTGGCACTCTAAAGCATACGGAGCTTATGAGCGGACCTCATGGTGCTCAGGGACTGGGAAAGGGTGATCCTGTGACAATCACAATGACAGTGATGACAGCTCAGGGAAGAGGGGGAACCTGGGTCTTTGGCACTCAGGTATGGCCTCTCTGGGAAAGCTGGCTTCTGACTGAGGAGGCATTTGCCATGCCTCAGTCCAGGGTCATCAGTGCAGATCTATTCTATTCAGAAAGTGAAGAGAGTGACCTCAGCAGGTCATCCCAACCTCAGCTCACCTGAATCAACACACCTGCCCTTGGTACTGCCCTTCACTGTGTAATCTCCCTGGACCCCTGATCACTGTCTGGTCCTCACTCAGGCAGCAGCACCCACAGCTTACACCTATATGCAGATGGCTTGCCCTGGTGCACCACATTTTAGGCAAACATACCTAGAGAAAAGGACAGAGGGAGGGGAAGGATGGGAAGGCCCCTGAAGCCTATGTCTAGAGATTAACAGACATCATCAGAATAGGCATCCTTGTGGACAGTGGAGAGAACAGTCTGTCTCTAAAGTAATATACACACAGGCCCCAGAACCAGACGCCTGGGTCTCAATGGCCCTGGGTGACCTTGGAGACATTCTGAGCTCCCTGGGCCTCATTTTTCTCATTTGTAAAGTGAGGATAATAATAATACCTACTTCCTGGAGTATCGCAATAATTAAAACTATTAACATACATAAGGCACTCAGAAAAGAGCCTGGCATGTAATAAACCCTCAAAGCATACAGGCTATTTTTAGCTTTGTAACAGAAGGCACAACTAGGGGGCAAGGTAAAAGAAAATCCCATGGCATTACAGCCCTGTTTAGTTTTCATTCATTAAAAAAAATACATTGATTGAGTGCCCCTTACTGACCTGCCCTGTTCTGGGAGTGTTCTAGCCACCCCAGCTGCCTGACAATACGGCAGTCCACATTATGAAGAAATGAACTCCTCCATCACTGGGAGTGTGCAGACAAAGGATGAGTCCCACTTTTCTGGGATGATGGGCCCCTGCCTTGAGTTTAAATAACAATTAAATTCCCCTAGGTGGCACATGGAATGGAGCCTCCATGGGTGGGTGTGTGTGTGTGTGTGTGTGTGTCTCGGTCAGGTTCTGGGATTATCAACATTACAATCTACTTAAAGTTAACAAACTCCCCAAACCTCAGTTTCCCCCTCTGTAAAACAACAAAAAACCTTTATCCCCAACAGGTCACACAGAAGGTTGACAACAGATGTTAAACCCAGCCCTTCCATAACACATAAAGTTAAAGCCACCAAGAATGAATGTTAAAACGTCTACTAATTGTATGAATGTTTCATTTTGAATTTTCTTTTTACTCTCATCATCAGATTTCATTGAGCCTTTTCTTTCTGCTGTGTGTTGGCTTCCCTCTTGT